CTATTATGAAAAATAGCTATAAGTTTTTTATTTATCAATTTTTTTTATTTCTGTAAAAACATTTTAGAGATACCTTTTTGAGCACAATCCAGTGTCATACTCAGTTTTTTTTTCTATTTCGCTCCGATTTCGAGATATGGACCAAAGTTCGACATTTTTAAATAAAACACCCTATATATTAATAGCTTATTGGATAGCTCTGTTTTTGCTGATTTCAATGATATAAAGTTCGATAGGTTTATCTCTAACAGCTTTCGAGAAAAAAAATTATATCTCTTTTTGTCATAAGGACCAATGTGTTAGAAAAGGATTTAATATATGTTAAGGAAAATGAAGAAGGTCTTTTTCTAACACATTGTTTCTTATGACTGAAACAGATATAATTTTTTTTCTCGAAAACTGTTATAGAGAAACCTATCGAACTTTATCATTGAAATCAATTAGGTCAATATCTCAAAATGGGAGCGAAATAGAAAAAAACTGAGTACGTCACTGGATTGTGCTCAAAAAAGTATTTCAAAGATGTGTTTACAGAAATAAAAAAAATTTATAAACAAAAAACTTATAGCTATTTTTCATAATAGGGAAAAATCGAAAATTGTCCTATATTAATGGTACCATTAAAGATATGGCGATACGGTTTTTGACAATCGACGTTTCTCAAAAATCGATTCCATGACATCTAAGTCAATTTTTCTCTATCTGGCCTGGAAGTATGTTTTTCCTGTTAAAACACTCCAAATTGCAGCACCCTGTACATAGACCCGTCATGCAGCAAAAATAAATTGTTTTATTTTATACATCACTGGATAAAGGGTCTAAGTGCACATACTTCTATTTACTTCTTGAAAAACATTTTTCTTTTTATACCCAAAAAAATTTTCTAAATAAAATGAGTATACTCTGCAAATTTCATTTGTCTATCGACTGTAACAAATAAGGTTCCAAGATAAAAAAGTTAAAATGGTATTTCTGTGAATCTGCTGAATGTTACATAGATCCTTCATGCACTTGTGTCTTCAATTATCCATTACAACAATTTATTAACAGGCATTACGAATATAATACACACTGTTTTTTTGAAATTGAAAAAGAAATTTCGCCTAGCTTGTTCAATATGGATACCAATACCAGTATTAATGATGTTACCTTTTACAAAAATTTGAAAATGTCCGATTTTGGTTTTTCTATAACCGAACCAAACTGCTTTGCATTTTTGAAATCTGGGAAAGCTATACAATTTGTGAGTTTCTTTAAAAAGGAAAAGGAAGGTAGTTTGTTTTTTGCATGTAAAGTGTTTAACCAAATAAAAAGCTTTTTAAAGACTCCATGTGATTCCCTTAAATTACAGTGTGGATTAGTACATCAAGTTATTGAAATGAGAAGTACTTATAGTATTGAGACTATTTTTTGCAAAGCAATAAAAATAGGAGACCTATTTATGCCTTTGTTACATTCATAGATTGGGCATATTGATCAAACTTCAAAAGGTGATAACGGGTCCTCAAAAAATAATAATAATTTCATAATAATTTAGTTAATAAAATAAAAAATGTATTACAAATAAAAATTATTTAAGATGAAAATTTCATTTTATAGGGTATGGTTCACTGATGACTGAACGACAGAATACTGCGATTTCGGCGGTTGTGATGTCACCATTCCTGCATAATTTATCTTCACAAGGAATTATCTCGGAGACTATTCTGAATATAGGACTGCGGTTTTCACGAGAGATCTTAGATTTTTTTTCTCGATTTGCTTAAGTCGTTTTTTAGAAATAAGATGCACGTTTTGAGATCACTGAGTTGTGCTGGATTGCACATTCTATGTTTGTATTTTTGTAAACGCTTCCACTGCCTGCTATTTATTTATTTTTTAAATTTTGTTTTTAGCTTTTGTACTCATTTTTTTTAGCTTTTTTTTTTGCTTTTTTTAGTCGTTTTTGTAACTTTTTTGTTGACCTAAAAATGACGACGTTGACTACTGTCTAAACAACCTGTTTTACCACCTGATCAATGCCTTGCCTTGCCTTGCCAATTAGATTTTTCCAATTAAAAGGTAATTAAGTATTTATCTACATTCTACATGTATACTTTGGTATATTACTTTCGGTTGTTATATTGAATTTTATAGAAATCGATCATCGATATCAAAAATTTTAGGTGAAATCAAATGTTCATTAGCAGCACATCTCGGCTTCCTTTATATTTTGCAACTTGATCCCCATAGATACGTGTAAAAAAAAGTTTATGAACCGCTGACAAACTAAAAAGCCGAAATGTGCTGATGATAAAAATTAGAATATTCTTGATTATGCATAATACTTTGGATAATACTTTTCATTAAAATTTTTAATCTAATATAAAAAGCTTTTTTTAGTATGCAGTGGTTAGTTTTAAGGAGGGGAGCATTAGCGTTATCCCCAAATGTTGGATGCTCAACAAAAATGTTACGTATTGGCCAAATAATGTAAAAAACTTAAGAATATTGCGTTGCACGCTGATTGGCTAATTTTTGGTGGGCGGAGCTTGTAAAGGGTATCGACCAAAACTATAAAAGAGGCCCGTTTTCGACGTTTAAGTAAGTCTTATTCACAGTGCTGTGAATACTGTGGTACGAGCAGCAGCGTTGACCTTCGGCCGGTGTGCATTTGCGATCTTCGAGGTAAAATCCAAAAAATTACTAACTTTGTGTAACCTTTTCCTGGGTGAATTGGGTACGTTTACCACGATTCCCGTCTATTTATTTTTTTTCTAAATAATAATTTTTAATTATCCTTTTATCGTAATTTTTTTCATTTTCTTTATTGGCATTTTTTTTTAAAGTAATTATGGAGGATTGGGATGACCCTGGGGGGGGTCCTCCACCCCAGGTCATCAATGATATTATTAAAAACTCAGCGAATGATAGTAAATTGATTGCCAAAAAAAAAGATATTGAACAAGCGAGAGACCCGATTTATTATAATAATGAAGATATAGGACCATTTATGGTATTTGTGGAATCCACTGAAAAAACAAATAATAACATTGGTAGATTTAACAATTTAAAAATAGCAAAGGAAATATTCGACCTTAAATTAAAAGACGTTAAAAAGATCAACAATAAAGGCTTGAATCGTTTAGCAATTGAATTCCTTAACTTCAATGCAGCTAATTTATTCCTTAATAATAAAAGTTTACGTGAAAAAGGTTACAAACTATTTATCCCATTTAATTTTGTTACCTGCAAAGGTTTAGTTAGACAAATTGATACTGATGTAGACATGAATGATTTCGCCAATATCTGCCAAACAAATGTACAAATTCTAAATGCAAAAAGATTGAACCGTAAAGTAATCAATAACGATAAAGTAGAATATGTACCAACAGGTACAGTTCTATTCACTTTTAGGGGCACGTTAATGCCTAAACATATTTTCTTTTATGGCCTCCCGCTCCCTGTGACCGTTTACATTCCTCCAGTGACCCAATGCTTCTCTTGCCTGCTGTATGGGCATACAAAAAATAACTGTAAGGGTAGGGAAAAATGTTTTAACTGTGGAGAAAAAAAACACGACCAGGACTCAGCTGGCTTGCCATCTCCGTTCATGTGTCAAACTAAATGCCACTTTTGCAAAAAAGATCATAAAACAACCTCTAAAAGTTGTCCAGAATACACCCGACAAACCAATATAAAAAAACTCATGGCCTATGATAATTTAACTTACTTTGATGCTGACAAGTTATGTAAAAAGACATACATTCTGAATGATGATTATAACTTTAATCCAAACGAATTTCCAATTTTGCGTGCCCCCAGAAATATTCAAGAAAATAATCCAAGAGAAACAATAACACCCTCACAAATGTAAGTGAATTCATTTTTTTCGCTGATGCATTACAAGGCTCCTATATTAAAATTTTCAAGAAAGCTCCCTCATAAAAGTCGAACAACAGTTACCCTTATCACAGGTAAAAAGCTTTCATGACTAGAATAGGCGATATGACCTTTTATTTCAATAACGATTAGGGACCAGAATTGCTTGTCGAGCCTTCTTGCAAAGGGTTCGATCCTTTTGCTGGTTCCCTTAGTAAAAATTGCTAGAATTCAATCTTGAAGCAAGTCTGAAAGTGTAATCAGTATTTGTAATCTCTGTGCCTCTGTGGAATATTTTGTATTTTGTGAATTTGTTGAAGTTGCTGTAATTAATAGGTGAGTGTTTCTCACAGAGTAGCCATTTGTACCTTTTTCATTGATTGATTTATTAAATTATCACCAAGATAATATTCTTGGTACATTCATATTATAGAGTAGGTTGCGAGTGGTTCCCCTCGTACTCTATGCTAGTTGTATATAGAGTGGATACTTCGCGTGTTTTCCCTTAGTATCCTAGTGAAGGCCTATAAATGCACTGTTTACCATGGTAGATACTCTATGCTAGCTATTATCTTGCTGGGGAGGTATTTCGTGCGTTTTCCCTTAATACCGAGGATCCAGAAGATACGCCTTGTCTGGAGAGGTATTTCGTGCGTTTTCCCTTAATACCTATGACCCGGAAGGCTTATTTATGTACAAAACTCCTGTCAATATAACATTTAAACTATGGTGATAATTTCTGACGAATTGGTTACTCAGGTAGTTTTTCTTTTATTTCAGATGTGTCATCTCGAGCGACAGCCTGGCAAGCGCCCCATTTATTCGCTCACAATTCTAATTTATCCTTTTGTACTTTATATGTTAATCAGTAATCAATAATAAATTAATCGTAACGTAATTATCCATTAATTTATTTTGAAGTACCCCTCACAAATTTTCAGAAGTGGGATCACTCTCAAATAATCAATAGCTCATAAAATGTCTCGCAATAAAAATAAATAAATAAATAAATGTTCAGATAATTAATAATAATAGTAATTAATTGAATAACTTCTCTAAAAGGGGCAAGAAAAATATCATTCGCCGAGGTGACACAAACAAAGTATTATTTTTAAGTATTGTTTTTTTTTTACATCAAGATAATTGCATCGAAATAATTATGTCTTCCCGCCGTGGACATAAACGACCACTTCCACTAGATGAGCCATCTAGTAGTCGTCATGGTAGAAATAATTCATCATCCAGGAATAGAAGACTTTCATCTGGAGAAAGTCGAAATCCTTCTCGTACCAGCGAGGCATCTATCGATCGTTTAACGGCTGTAATTAGCACCCTTATTGAGTCTAATGCGAAGGCAAATACGCCAAGAGAAAGGGCTAGTACCCCTGCTGTGCGCGGGGAAATGGTACCTGTTTTTGATCCTGATGATAGAACTCAAACTGTTTTGGATTGGTGTCGAAAGGTTGACGAGTTGAGAGACATTTTTGGATGGTCTGAAGAGGCTACAATTTATTTTGCGATGACCAAATTGAAAGGTTTGGCTGAAGTTTGGTACAAGGGCTTACCAAGCGTAAAATTTTCTTGGAATGAGTGGAAACAAAAGCTGGAGCAAGGATTTCCATCTAAACGTGACTTCTTTGAAGAATTCCAGCAAATGATGGCTAGGACAAAGAAACAGGACGAGACGTACTGCAAATATTATTATGAAAAAATGGCTTTATTAAATAGCTGCGAGATTACAGGAGTCAAAGCAGTTTCGTGCCTTATTGGAGGCATGTTTGATAATGTGGTCAAAACTGGAGCTAAGGCGGGCGATCATCAATCACCTGAGTCCTTGTATGGATACCTTTGTACCTTGGATACTGCGTCATCTGGCACATCCAGAGGTCATGATGTTGGTCGACATACGTCAAGACACAAATCTGGCAATTTCAGAAGGGACAATAAAACTTCCAAACAAGGTACCACGATAACTTGTTTTAAGTGCCATAAACCAGGGCACATATCTAGTAGGTGTGCAGAGAAGGGAACCAACAATAATTTCGAAAAACGCTGCGACTATTGTCGACGTCGCGGACATGTAGAAGATGATTGTTTTTTGAAAAAAAGAAAGGAGAAGGGAAATGAAAAATTATGACTAGTAACGGACAAGGACAAGAGCAATCAAAAATTTTATAAAGCCGTAGACATCAATGGAATTTCATCTTTCGCCTACGTGGATTTGGGAAGTTCCTGCACTACTATTCGTCTACAGGAAGCGGAACGGTTAGCTTTAGTAATTGATGCCACCGAGAAAACCATTTTACATGGCTATGGCAACGGGCGCACCCCTACAATAGGTACCACAAGTTTTCGAATCAAAGTGGATGATGTGGAAACAACCGTATCTGCCCATATTGTGTCTAACGTAGCTCAGGAGATACCAATTTTGCTGGGCAGGAATTTCACAGAACTCCCAGACGTACTTGTCATCAAAGATGATATTTCATTGACATTTTTCAGCAGGAGCCTAGGAGAAATAAATGCAATAGAGACAGAACCAAATGATTCAAAAATTGTACTTCGGATTGCAGAAAACACTACAATACTGCCAAATCACTGGGGACATGTTCAGGTTGATAGTGATTCCTATGAAGGTGATCTCTGCATCGACGCTAGCGTCCGAATGCAAGAAGGACAAGAATATTGTATTCCTCATGTAATCGTATCGATTAAAAAAGGAGAGCCTGCATTATTACCTTGCATAAGTTTAGCAGATAATGATATAGAATTTAAGAAAAATAGAGTATTTGTAAGAGCATGCAAGTGTACAGAGGAGGAAAATTTAACAGAAATGGTGATGAGAGTTGGTGAGGCAAATACAGGGCGTTTACCTCTAGAAGAAATCTCGATAGGGCCCATAGATGAGCAGCAAAAGAAGCAATTACTGAAATTGCTACAGGAATATCGCGATTGTTTTGCATTAACAACGGAAGAACTTGGTTGTTCAAAAACTGCTCAAATGGAAATTAATCTTCGAGAAAATAAACCATTTTCATACAGACCCTACCGGATGTCACGAACTGAACAAAACCTCGTAAAGGACATTGTTGACGACTTGCTCAGAAGTAAAATTATTCGTGAATCTGACTCCGAGTATTCATCACCTGTTCTTTTAGTTCGAAAGAAAAATGGAGAGCAGAGATTGTGCATCGACTACCGCAAGTTAAACTCCCTCTGCGTAAAGGATAGTCATCCATTACCTCGAATTGACGATCAAATTGATAAATTACAGACCGGAAATTATTTTATTAGTCTCGATCTGAAAGCAGGGTACCATCAGATACAACTTGCGGAGTCCTCCAAACACTACACTGCTTTTGTAACGCCTGAAGGGCAATACGAATACAACAGAGTTCCTTTTGGGCTAAGCAACGCACCCAGAGTTTTCCAGAGGTTGATGACACGAATACTTAAGCCAATGCGAGCCAATTCAGCACTTTATCTGGATGACGTACTTTTGTATGGGTCGACTGTTAATGAAACGATAAAGGTTTTAAAAGACGTCTTAGACATTCTAAGACAGGAAGGGTTAACGCTAAACCTTAAAAAGTGTAACTTTTTGAAGACGTCTGTGTCGTATCTGGGCTATGAAATAGAGCAGGGAACAGTTAAGCCTGGACTTGAGAAGATTAAAGCCGTTGAACAGTTTCCTACCCCAAAATCTGTGCACCAAATACGTCAATTCCTTGGTCTAACAGGCTATTTCCGTCATTTTGTACAAAATTATGCCATAATTGCAAAACCATTGACAGCATTAACCAAAAAGACAGTATCATGGACTTGGGGAAATCAACAAGACAGTGCATTTCGCAAACTGCAGGAAATTTTGATCAGTCGCCCTGTTTTAAGTCTATTTAATTTTGAGGCAGCTACTGAATTACACACCGACGCAAGCCAAATTGGATTAGCTGGAATATTACTTCAAAGGCAAATAGACGAACGATTACATCCAATTGCATACTATAGTCGCCAGACTTCCGATACTGAACAAAAATATCACTCATTTGAGCTGGAAACGTTGGCGGTAGTGGAAAGTCTCCGGAAGTTTCGAACATACTTACTTGGCATCTCTTTTACCGTTATCACCGATTGTAATTCACTTAAAGCAGCCAGTAACAAAAAGAATCTCTTGCCACGAATTGCCAGATGGTGGCTCGAACTCCAGGAATTCACCTTCGACGTGAAATATCGACCTGGGCCACGTATGAGCCATGTGGATGCACTTAGTCGTAACCTACCAACGAACAATCGAAATCAGGAAGAATGTGAAGTGATTCTACACATTGGGGAAGGAGATTGGGTGCTTTCAGGACAGCTCACCGACGACAAAATTAAAACTATACGTGAAGTTCTTTCAAGACCACCGGAAACAGATTATGAAAAGACTGTTTATAAAGACTATTGCCTGCGAGACGGCCGAGTATATAGAATAACTGCAAGAGGCTTACTTTGGGTCGTTCCAAACGGAATGAGGCAGCGTGTGTTAAGAGCAGCACACGATGATTTTGGGCACTTTGGAGTCGAAAAGACGCTGAAAAGACTTTGCGAAAATTATTGGTTTCCCAGAATGCAGAAATATGTTGAACAATACATTTCCTGCTGCATTCCGTGTCTTTATAACAAAAGAACATCAGGCAAAAAGGAGGGATTTCTACACCCAATCCCAAAAGGAGAAGTACCTTTACACACGTTCCATGTGGATCATTTAGGACCTTTCCCAAAATCAAAAAAAAAATAATTCTTATCTCATAGTAGGAATTGATGCTTTCACAAAATTCGTATTTTTGCATGCCGTCAAAAACACCAAGTCAAAACACGTTATTGAGTATTTCAAAGATATTTTTGCAACCTATGGAGTCCCACAAATCCTAATATCAGATCAAGGCAGTTGCTTCACATCCAAACAGTTCAAACAATTTTGCGACCAGAATAATATCAAACATGTACTCAATGCTGTCGCAACTCCAAGAGCAAATGGGCAAGTGGAACGCTTAAACAGAACCATTCTTGGAGCGTTACTACCATCTGTACCCGAAGAAGAGTTATGGGACGAAAGTGTACGATCCGTACAATTTGCCATCAACAATGTAACTCATAAAGCGACTGGCAAAACACCTAGCCAACTACTCTTTGGGTATACTCCAAGAAATAGTACTGACGCATTGCTGAGAGATGAAGTCTCTGAAATCCCTGCAATGTTAGAAAATATTGTAGTTGCTAGGCATGAAGCGGCAGAGAAAATTCGATTGGCCCAAGCCAAGCAAAAGCAGTATTTTGACAAAAAACGAAAGAAACCACAGGTTTACAAAGAAGGAGACTTAGTAGTAGTACTGAAACAAGTACAATCCACTGGCACTAGTAGAAAACTGGATGCCCCATATAGCGGACCTATGGTCGTGAAAGTTGCATTGCCAAACGATCGATATGTTGTCAGAGATATGGAAAATTCCCATCGTACACGAACAACATCCAAGTACGAAAAGACCGTCGCTGTTGATCGTATGCGCCCCTGGTGTCAGCCTGGAGGTGTGTCAGATTCTACGGACAGCGAAAGCGGTGACGATGGTGTTCTTTTGAGCTCCGACGATGATCAGCCGATGGACTCCTAGATATCTCGGGACGAGATATTTGCAGGGTGGCCGACTGTAAGTGAATTCATTTTTTTCGCTGATGCATTACAAGGCTCCTATATTAAAATTTTCAAGAAAGCTCCCTCATAAAAGTCGAACAACAGTTACCCTTATCACAGGTAAAAAGCTTTCATGACTAGAATAGGCGATATGACCTTTTATTTCAATAACGATTAGGGACCAGAATTGCTTGTCGAGCCTTCTTGCAAAGGGTTCGATCCTTTTGCTGGTTCCCTTAGTAAAAATTGCTAGAATTCAATCTTGAAGCAAGTCTGAAAGTGTAATCAGTATTTGTAATCTCTGTGCCTCTGTGGAATATTTTGTATTTTGTGAATTTGTTGAAGTTGCTGTAATTAATAGGTGAGTGTTTCTCACAGAGTAGCCATTTGTACCTTTTTCATTGATTGATTTATTAAATTATCACCAAGATAATATTCTTGGTACATTCATATTATAGAGTACGTTGCGAGTGGTTCCCCTCGTACTCTATGCTAGTTGTATATAGAGTGGATACTTCGCGTGTTTTCCCTTAGTATCCTAGTGAAGGCCTATAAATGCACTGTTTACCATGGTAGATACTCTATGCTAGCTATTATCTTGCTGGGGAGGTATTTCGTGCGTTTTCCCTTAATACCGAGGATCCAGAAGATACGCCTTGTCTGGAGAGGTATTTCGTGCGTTTTCCCTTAATACCTATGACCCGGAAGGCTTATTTATGTACAAAACTCCTGTCAATATAACATTTAAACTATGGTGATAATTTCTGACGAATTGGTTACTCAGGTAGTTTTTCTTTTATTTCAGATGTGTCATCTCGAGCGACAGCCTGGCAAGCGCCCCATTTATTCGCTCACAATTCTAATTTATCCTTTTGTACTTTATATGTTAATCAGTAATCAATAATAAATTAATCGTAACGTAATTATCCATTAATTTATTTTGAAGTACCCCTCACACAAAGACGCACAGTTGATTTCAATACAAGGCCAAAAAGAACCTTCCAACAAGCAGCTTCTACAGAACCCAACAAGAAAAGAATTATACAAAAAGGATATGATAAATCATTACATAATGAAGCTTTGTACTTCCCAAACTCCCGACCAGAACAAAACATCCCCACTGCCCCCAGATATAGTATTTTACCTGTCCCCTCTCACCTACAAGCTTCTTCCTCAAACGACCCCAACAAGCCTTATAGTGCCGTTCAAGACTCTCTCAGGTTTACACAACCTGAATCCTATACCACAGAAGACAATGAAACGGAATATGTAAAAACAGTATTGGAAAACTTCTCTACAATTTCACAAGAAAACCAACACCTAATTAAAAAATTTATCCTTACTCATTTAAATTTAGCCACATACATGGATCTAGACGACCCTAATTTCCATCAAAACCAATAAACTTTATTTATGGAACTACAAAAAACAAAATTAAAAATTTTACAATGGAATTTAAGAAGTGTCAACTCTAACAGAAATAATCTTATGGCTCTGTTAAATAAATACGACCCAGACATTATTCTCCTTAATGAAACCTGGCTCAAACCAGGCCACAACTTTTTCATTAAGTCATATAATATCCTGAGACAAGATAGGGATGATGGATATGGCGGAGTGGCCACATGTATAAAAAATAACATACTCTTTAAACACATCACAAACTTTAACAACAATTTGATACAATATGTAATCGTTAAAATCTCTCAAATGAACATAATCAACATATACTCAAATTCTAATGCCAATATTACGACACAAACACTGGATGCAATCTTCCAGCCACTCTCAGACCAATCCCTACTCATGGGTGACCTCAACTCCCACCATCCCATATGGGATGAAAGTCCCCCTAACTTAGGAGGCAGAAACATAAACAAATTCCTGCTGGAGAATGATTTTGTGATTTTGAATGATGGAACACCTACCCTCCTCCAACCCCCAGACCAAAATAGCAGCGCGGTGGACATTGCCCTAATCAGCGATGTATATGCACCTATTTCGTCTTGGAATGTACTACCAGATTGTGGCAGCAGTGACCACTTCCCCACTATGGTCAAAATAAATCATAAGACTAGCTATCCAGAGGCAGGAATAGATGAGGACTACATAATGAAAACCTTTCCCATTAGAAACTTCCATAAAGCGGACTGGAAAATGTTCCATGACAGGATCATGACAAAAGTGAATCTTGCAGAGAGTGACATCAGCTTTGAGAAGCTGCAAAAAATAATCAACAATGCAGCTGAGGAAGCAATTCCATATAAGGACTTCAACAAACCGAAAAGGGTAACTAGCCCATGGTGGGATTCGGAATGCTCCATTATCATAAAAAATCGCAAAGAAAAGTTACAAGCATTCCAAGACAACCCAAACATTGAAAAGTATATTGAAGCTAAACGAGCTATTGCCCTCTCCAAATTACAATTAAGGAAAAAGAAAAAAACAAACTTCTTACAATTCTGTGAGTCTCTTATCAGAGAATCTAACTTGACGTACGTTTGGCAAAAAATTAAAAAGTTTTCGAATGTGCATAAATCCTTTAACAAAACAACTATTAATAATGATATCAACACAGAAATGATTAACAGAATGGCAGTTTGCAACATCGACCCCAACTTTACACTGTCCCCGCTGCCTGACAATATAAAACATTTCACTATCCAAGAGCTTAAAAACGGGTTAAAGGGAAAAAGCCTTTCTGCTCCCGGAATGGACGAAACTACCTATAAAATGTTGGATTACCTACCAGAGACAGCAAAGAGAATCCTTTTGGGAACATAATAATTGCCTCTCAGGAAACGCAATTCCACAATCTTGGAAAAACTACAATATCATTCCGATCCTAAAACCAAATAAAAATCCCTTAAATGTGGAGAACTATAGGCCTATTGTCTTATCATCCTGCTACTGCAAGATCTTGGAAATCATGACTAAAAATCGCCTGGATTGGTGGCTAGAAAACAAAAAGACCTTCAGCTGGCTCCAAACAGGGTTCAGAAAAGGGATGGGAATCAATAACAATATTGCAACACTAACAACTCACATAAATCTAGCTTTTAATCTAAATGAAACCGTATTGGCAGTATTTTTAGACATCAAATCGGCCTATGACGGAGTGAACTTATATTCATTGTATGACAAATTGAAAAAGGCAGGCACACCGATGGAACTGTCAAACCTTATATTCACATTATTATCAAACAGATCTTTATTCTCCAGAAAAAATGATGGTTCCTTCGCAGGACCTACCCTGGCAACTTCAGGACTCCCACAAGGTTCCCCTCTTAGTACTGTCCTTTTCAACATTTATATTGCAGATCTATTCAAGTTCCTACCGAATGATGTTAATCTGATGGGATATGCTGATGACTTGGTAATCTTCTGCAAAGGCAAGAACGTACAAATATTATCGCAGAAAATTAACGTTGCTTTGAATAAAGCCGATAAATGGCTAAAGGAAAATAGCTTAACCCTCTCAATCGAGAAATGCGAGTCCGTTTGGTTTACTAAAGGTGCGCGAAGGGTCGCTCCCCCAGACATAACGATTGGAGGTTCAATCATCCCTTATAAAAACCATGTCAAATACTTAGGAGTTATTTTACAGAAAAATTTAAAATGGGATAAACATATAGAAAATATATCTAACAAAGCAAGAAAGGGGATAAATGTGATAAAATGCTTTGCTAGAGTTTGGTGGGGAGCGGACCCACAAACACTTTTGATTGCATTCAATGCTTTGGTGAGATCCCACCTAGATTTTGGATCTATTTTTATAAATCCAACTTCAATAAAAAACAAGGATAAATTGAACGGTATACTATACGAAGGACTGAGAATTTGTACAGGATGCATGAGGTCTACCCCCACCAATGTCCTACTGGCCGAATCAGCAACGATGTCCCTAGAATACAGGAGAAAGTGGTTAGGCGTCAAATTTCTTACGAAACCCATTTCAATACTCAACCACCCATTAATACTAGATCTTAGACAATTACATCAATGCTATGCACGTAATGCAGGGTCCTGGAAGGAACAGCATAGTCCTTACCTTGTACAGGCATTAACTCGTTTCTTCCCATATTTTAACAAAATATACAAAAAAGATATACAACCATGCTATGACTTCGATTATGACATTCAAACTCAGCCCCTAGGAAACTTGGACCTTAGCCTCAAAAAAAGAGAGTTGACTACTAAATCACAGTTTTTGATGGATACTGAGAAACTTAAGAAAAAGTTTAACTTCATCTACACAGATGCCTCTAAAAAAAGGGACAGGGCTGGTTTCGGGATATACATCCCTGATATCGATTTCAGATTTTCGGCAAGACTACAAGGGGAACTATGCATCTGCACTGCAGAAACGATTGCCATTTACGAAGCAGCCAATATTGTACTAAGGAAAAACTTGAAGAACGCGATCATTTTCACGGACTCACTAAGTGCTGTGACCAAATTGTCTAAAAGTTACATAGACATATCCACCGACCATGTCACACTAACTACAAAAAAACTAATCACAGAAGCTAATGAGATAGGAAATAAAATATACCTAGCCTGGATCCCGGGACATTCGGATATTCCTGGAAATGAAATGGCGGACACACTGGCAAACATTGGCAGAGATTTGAACGTCCCCAAAAACATTGATATTGACAAAGGGGAAATTGCAAACTTAATCAAAGCAGATATATTACTCAAGCATGATGAAGATTGGAAAAAATCCTTACAAATTAAGGGAAAGCAGTACAAAAACATCCAGTCATCTTTTCCAAAAAAAAAATGGTTCTCTAATTTTCCTTACGTGGATAGAAGACACATCACTGTTATAACAAGAATGCGATCTGGCCATTGCCTGACTAAACTACACCTTTTCAAAATGGGCATTGGGGATGACCCCTTGTGCGAATGTGGCAGGACGGAGGACTTGAACCACATCTTCTTTGAGTGCCCGATTAATGAAATTCCTACTTTCAA